GCAATGTGAGAAACTGATAGGTTTGAACAGGTGCATTAAAGTCAGGTTCAGTGTCTGAGGTAGAAGAACTGAATGTTGCTGTTGATGTGAAGAACTGTCACATCGACAGCAAATTCAAGATCAGCCTTTTGTTCTGCATCTGTGAGGTTTGGAATGTTTTTGCCTTTCTTCTGACAAAACTCTCAAATCTCTGCCCAGGCTGAAGTATCTGATGGCTGTGTGGTAGCCTATGTCACCATGTTCAGTCTCCTGCTCCTGCAAAAGTGCCTGTCAGTGACTGTCAGTGAGAAAAAGTCAAAAATGTTGACTTCATTTTTCAACTTAAGTTCCAGATTTCCTTTCCAAACATCCTTGATGCTTGACTCTTGGGGCATATTTGTGATGCAGAGTTCACCAAACACTCTTTGATATACTCTTCATCAAAGACTGACCCACAGTTTTTTTTTTTTTCAAGATTTTGTGGGACATCACAAAGCTGTCATCACTCCTCGATCCCTGAATGTGCAAAACTTGGTAAAAAAAAAAAAGTTCTTGTTGCTTTCGCAGCTTTGCTAGCAAAGGTTCAGGTGTCTGTTTCCAGTCTGCGTCAGTCAAGTTCTTGTATTTACCTGTGTGTTTAGTCCAGCAAGGTGATTCTATCAAACCTGCTCTCCACAGATTAGGCTGTGTTCAAAATTCTACATTCTGCATCAAGCTTTCTTTTTTTAACGAGAGCTGATATCTTTTGGGGCTAGTAAACCCCTATCCCTTATAGCCAAAACAGCCAATCAGATTTTTTTGCATCCAAGTCTGTGATTGGCTGGTTTTGTGGAACAAATATAGTGGTGTAGAGAAAGAGTTGAACGCGCACGGGCAGAAATGTTGAGAGTGCAAGCAATACATTGCGATCAAGCGCAAATGCAAAAACTGAGCGAGAGGGGCTGCTATTGTGTGTGTGTGTGTGTGTGGATAATAGCAAACACTGACATACAGTTTTTGCATGCAGCAATGACTTTTGTTCACTCAAATTTAGCTTTTCTTCGCTCAAAATTTCTCCTCAAAATGCAACACTTGCACCTGCAAATTTTTATTACGTGTGCTCAGAATAGTGGCACAAAAATAACGCCATAGTCTATGACCCTCCTGTGGACACTCTAATAGGACTGAAAAATCTGGGACTCTCCACCAATTGACCTTAGAACTGAAGAAGCTTCACGGATGAGAGGTGAAACATCTTCAAGAAACTTAAAGATTTCCAGAGACTCCAAGCTCCTTAGACTACAATGACCTGGATGACTGAGAACCTTTACAGACAATGCAGTTTTAAGATATTCTGCACCAACTTCACTGTTCAGACCTGGCAGTCAAAATATGTTTCAAACAATATCCTGCATTAAACTGAAAATTGTCTCAAGGGGTCCCACTTCCCTTTTCCCAAAGATATTCTGTTTTATGTGCAGGCTTCTAAAGATCATTAAGGATTAAAAGACTCAATACTCAGGTTTCTTCTTTAACGGAATAAGCTAGCTCTCAACTGGGAAATCTTTGCTCCGTTTGAATGTTTTCCTCCCTCAAATTAAACTTTGGAAACTGGAATTCGGATCAGGCCAGGCTGTGGTTATGTCATAACAACTGTAGTCTGACATTTCCTCGTGTTTGGCAATGTCTTCTGCTCTGTTGTCAGCAGGGAGTTAGCGCGTTCCTGCCTCGTGTGGTAGATTTACCACCACAGCATCTCCTCTAATGTAAAACACAGACACACAAAATCACCACAGACATTCAAGGCTTGTTGCTACACACAACTGTCATTAAATTGTGTCTAAGGTGTTTACCATTACACAAGAGAACTGAAGCGGTTGAGGCAGGCACAAAAAAACAGCAAATAGACATTTTTATACTTTTACATAGTAGCTTCAGCGTTTGACCTACTTCATTCCTTCAAATTGTGATGCACTGCAGTGTGAGGAAATATTTCTACAAGCAACAGACGTGCAAATCAGCATGAGCTTACAGTTAGGCCCATATGTATTTGGACACTGACAAAAGTTTTGTTCTTTTACATGTTTACGTAAACAAATCCCAATTATAGTTATATATTGGACATGGACATAATGTGTAGACAGTCAGCTTTCTTTTGAGGGTATCCACATTCGAATTTATGGTGGCCGTAGAAACTGTAAAACACGTACAAAACTCCAAAACACTTACAAACTCAAAAACACTTACAAACTCACAAACACTTAAAAAAACTCCGAAGCGCATACAAACTGCAAAGCACAACGTACAAATTCCAAAGCACGTACAAGCTCCGAAGCACGCAAACTCCAAAAAACAACGGAAGTGCTCCAGGACGCTAGGGGCAGTGTTGAGCTTTTGTTACCTAGTGACTACACAAGCCAGGAAGTACCAACGACTGGATTTGGTGTGTGCTAGTAACAGGTAAATGAACTTTTTTTAAAAAATTATTTGAATATATATGAGTGTGGTTGTTCTATCTTTGCAGGTGTTTTCTGCCAGTATCCAACAACAAACTTGCCGTTTATTTTGCAAATCGAGCTCAACACTGCCCCTAGCATCCTGGAGCACTTCCGTTGTGTTTTGGAGTTTGCCGTGCTTTGGAATTTGTACGTGCTTTGGAATTTGTACGTGCTTTGGAATTTGTACGTGCTTTGGAGTTTGTAAGTGTTTTGGAATTTGCATGTGTTTTGGAGTTAGTAAGTGTTTTGGAGTTTTGTACGTGCTTTAAGATTTTTCTGTGAACAGACGACAAGCGGTCAAAGGAACTCTCTGTGCAGGTGAAACAAGCTATCCTTAAGCTGCAAAAAAATATATAAAAAAAAAACATCCGAGAAATTTCTACAGTATTAGGAGTGTCAAAATCTGGAGTTTGGTACATCCTATGAAAGAAAAAAAAGAAAGAAAGAAAGCACTGGTGAACTCAGCAACACAAGAAGATCTGCACGTCCACGGAAGACAACAGTGGTGGATGATCGCAGAATCATTTTCATGGTGATGAGAATCCCTTTCACAACAGTCAAGCAAGTGAACAGCACTCTTCAGGAGGTGAAGAAGGAGACTGCATGAAAGTAAATACAGAGATTTCACTGCAAGGTGCAAACCACTGATAAGCCTCAAGAATAGAAAGGTTAAAAACATCTAAAAAAGCCAGCACAGTTCTGGAAAAACATATTTTGGACAGATGAAACCAAGATCAACCTCTACCAGAATGATGGCAAGAAAAGTGCATGGAGAAGGTGTGGAACAGCTTATGATGCAAAGCATACAACAGGCAGTGTGATGGTTTGGGCGTGCATGGCTGCCAGTGGCACTGGGACACTAGTATTTATTGATGATGTGACACAGGACAGAAACAGCTGGATGAGCTCAGAGACTTACTGTCTACTCAAATCTTGCTAAATCCAGTCAAATTGATTGGGCGGAGTTTCATAATACAGATGGACAATGACCCAAACCATACAGCCAAAGAGTTTATTGAAGCAAAGAAGTGGAATATTCTTGAATGGTCAAATCAGTCACCTGATCTTAACCCAACTTCAAACAGAAAGGCCCACAAACAAGCAGCAACTGAATGCCGCTGCAGTAAAGGCCTGCAGAGCATTAAAAAGGAGGGAACCCAGCATGTGGTGATGTTCATGAGTTCAAGACTTCAGGCTGTCATTGCCAGCAAAGGGTTTTCAACCAAGTATTAGAAATGAACATTTTATTTTCAGTTATGTAATTTGTCCAATTACTTTGAGCCCCTGAAATAAAGGAATAGTGTTAAAAAAAAATTAGTTCATCAAATTTTTATGCAAACTTTTTGTTAAACCAACTGAATTAAAAATGAAAGTCTGCACTTCAAATGCATCTGATTTGTTTCATTTAAAATTTATTGTAGTAATGTACAGAACCATAATTAGAAAGAAAGAAATCGGTTTAAGAAAGATATCCATCACAGTGTTAGCCTGAAGATGTTTTTATATGGAATGTATATTTATTTTGCAGTATTTGAGTTCATTTTCAACCTTTTGACACTCTAATGCAGCCTCTGACTTAACAGTAATAGAGACAAGAACATTTTGTCCACTCATTTTATAATATACTACCAGACGTTTTAGCAGAGGAGCATGGTACTCAGGGAATCCTGAATTTAAATGTAGTGGAGAACTGTAACTTCCACTGGGTTTTAAGAAGCATTTAAAATCACAGTTTGGGGCAAAATCAGTAAACTTTTTAAGGTCCTTTTTTCTTATTAGATTGGAATGATGATTGTTACGGAAGAAGATTAGGGCCAATGGAAACAGAAAAAAAAGTGGGGACATCTTTTTTTCAGAGTTTTGTCTTTAATCCCAGAATTCTGAGGAAAAAGTTGGGAAATCCATCTTACAGCAACCAAAACAGTAACATCAACCCATAAGATCATATTTTATTGCAGAGTAGTTAAATGAAATGCAATATCACAAAATAAAAGCTCAACAATGTAAATATTACACAAAACTCACGTGCTCAATTGAATTTAATAAACAGGTAAATAAAGGAGCCCAATAAGTGAAAATCTAAATAAATTAGAATAAACAATTAAGTAAAACCCTGATATAATACAATAAAGCGGCCGTATAAAGACAAAAGCTCTATGTCCAAACAGGCCGATATTTATACTTGAACGAGCCTTAAAAATGCATTTATCAGGTATTTAAATGGTTGCGATTGATTTTCAGTCAGGCGATTAGCTCCAAAGTGAGTAAAAAGCTCAGCACCTGTGTAGCGTTTACTGGAACAATGTGAACGTATCCATGGAGAGCGCTGTGGTGACGTAAGCAACAGGTTGAACGGAGCCCCTCGCGGACGCCCAGTGCCCGCACTTCTGTTGTTTCCCTGTCCGGAGCTCACGCGGCATCATCATCAGCGGCACACGCGGAGCCGACTGCGTGCATGTGTGTGAGGCTGCGCTGCTGCACGAGACCACTGCAGCATTCGGCTGGTGCCTCAGAACCCATTTTAAAAACTAACGGCTCAAAACGAGACGGAGAAAACGGACAGCGGCGGGAAAACTGACGTCCTTCAGGTAGGAAAACCTTAATTTGTTTGTTTGGTTTTTTTTACACCGTCATTGGGGATTTTATTGCGTTCTGTCATGTCTGACATGTCATGTCAGTACTGGTCACACACAGTGAATAACGGTTTTTATGTCACGAGCAGCGTCCGTGTAACAGCGACTTCTTGTCCTGCCCAGCTGAACGATGTCGCGGTGATTGAGCACCGCACTAAATAGGCTGCTTGGTTCTTCTGTCTGCATAATCCTTACATTGAAAGAGCGAAGAAGACCAGTCATAATATTTATAATTTAAGGTATCTATGACTGTGTACATCTAAGCTATGTTTTAATGGGTTTTAATTTCCACCATGGACTGGGTGTTTCTTGTTCAGTAAGTTCTGGTTTTATTAATTAGAGCAAAACTGGGAACAATGTGGGCAAGAGTAGACCTTCATTTGACTTTAAGTTGTACAGATTATGCAGCACACTTTGTATTTCATGAGTTACAGTCACAAAAATGCATTTCTTTAGTGTGTTTTAGTCAATTTATTCACACATGTCCAGCAGAGACTGCAGGCGAGTCTGAACAGTGCTGTCACATATTAGTGGTTACCGTCAGTGTTGATCTTCAGCTGCTTTTCTTCAGTTTGATGGTTGCTTTAATGGCACATGTCGTGATTGATGGCTGTCAGGCTCTCTCATTGCTATCCCATAGTTCAATACAACTCAGTACAGTGGCAGGTTCCATTTTTTCCTTTGAGGAGTAATATTTAAAGTTGAAATTAAAGCCTAACAGGTAGAAAAGAAGCTGACTGGTCAAAATAAGTTGTAAAAATCTTTTTTTTTAGGACATGATTTATGCATCGATGATTTGCTATTAGAACACTCTCTGGTTAAAGATCTTTTAACTGTGACTGCAGATGTGTCATGAGGACATTTTGAAATGTCACAGGATGATTGAAGATTTGTTTTTCCAGTCGTTTCGTCTTTGTGTTGACATTCAGCGTCCTCTACCAGCACCCTGCACTACAAAGCACCTTCAGCATACCCAGGATGTGTTTCAGATATCTCACTCTGACATCAGCAGTCAGGCTAAACAGTCACACGAAGGTAGGTATCAACTCAGGGTTTATCAATCTAGCTGCGAGCGTGTTCACATCAAAGAGGCAGCGTTGACAGCATCTGACCAATTACAATCATCAGTGGGTACACAGGAAGCGATGCGGCTGATTCATAAAGGTAAACTGGAATATTAGACACATATGAAGAGGTTAAACTCTCAATACAGATGAAAGCAACACAGCTGCTGCAGACTAAGCAACAGTGTGAGAGAGGAAATGTTTATTATCAGAGCTGCATGAATGTGTGTGCTTTCAGGGCTTTGGCCAGTATGACTGGAAAGGACTTGCCATATTAATAAAGTCTAGCCAATTTGAAGCTGGTAAGGAAATGCAGCAGAACTGCTGATTGTGTAAATTGATACTCATCAGTGTTACGGCTCTGTCATTAACACACAAACAAAACTGAGAGATTACATTAAAAGGATGTTTAGATGCGTGTAGGACAGCTTTGTTTCAGCTGCTGCACCAGTGGTGTTAATGGTCTGAGAGCGGGCATATAAATGTTAAATAAAGTGGTTTCTTGTCAGTTTCTTGTTGATGCTTTTCTCATTGAAGACTTTAGATGATATTGAAAAACTGATATTGAAAGACTTCAGACCCGCATCCAGCTTCTTCTGGGAATATTGGTGCTATTTTCCAGGGGATTGATCGGTCTGTAAGAGGTGGTTTCGTACCTTCTGGTCTCTTACCCAGAGCGTTATCTGTGTCAGAGTGGGTTAGGTCTGCAGCATAAGTTGCTGTGGTGAACTAGGATCTTAAACCTGAAAAGCCAGGGTTAAACCTGTTCTTGCCTCAATAAGCACCTTATCGTACTCCGTGGTCAGGCCTCAGGTGTGTGCACTCTGTGGTTGTGTTTGTGTATTATATAAAGATTTGTTCTATCATCTCTTATTGCTTTGTGAAAATATAAGAAGCAAAGGGTCGCGTCCTCTTAACACTACTGAAGAGAGAAATATTAGCCTCTGTTTCTCTCTCAGGCGTCTGCAGGTTGAAGTGAGGATCCTGCCTGAAGCCATCTCATACTCGGAGTGTCTGGGGAGTAAAATTGGCCTCCATCAATGCTCATCCCACTCTGACCTTTCAGCTTGATATTTCTGTACGGGTTTGTGCTGTTTTATCGCAGATTTTTCTTTTAAGCAGCATACAAAGCTTTAATACTGAAATTTTAAGCAGTTTTTCAGTTATACAGTTGGAATTAGAAGTTTCCCCTGTGCATTGTTTTTTTTTTTTTATGAGGTAATGTGGTGCTTGCTGCAGTATTATTACTTTAATTTTCAGTACACTTTAATCAGATAGGTTTTATTACAGCTGATGAATATTCCCACAGCATAGCAGTAAAACCAATTAAAAACATTGTGATATCTTTTTCTCACTGAAGGTGTTGAGTGGACGTGGTGATCATTCTCTCAGCAAAATGTGTAACAGATACGATGGTCTGTGTTTTTTAATGTGAAACGAACACTGCTGGAGCTGTGGACCAGCACAGCTCTTAACCTTTTTAAAATAAATCTACTTTTTTTCCAGCTTATATTCGTGTTTTATCAAAGTTCAACACACATTTACCGTTGCCCATCCAAACATTCATCAGGAATTGTTGAATTTCTGTCTTTGACAGATGCACCAATGAGTGCTCTACATGCGCTTTCATACACGCATTAAACAAACTGGGCTTCCTGTACAGATCGGTGAGTGGATAGGACTTTCTATAACAGGAAGATGTAAATGTGAGGTGGAAGATGGAGGGTGCTGTAGTAGGGCTGGGCCATATCATATCGTTCACAGTAATACCGGTATAATGTTGGGCAACGACAAGAAAATGAAATATCGCGATAGAATATGGGTAAAACACGCATGCGCAGTGCCTTTGTTTTCATACGCACATGGTGGCAAAAGCATGGCGGCGACGGAGAATGAGGAGGGAGAAAGCGGATCGTTAAATGAAACAGATGAACCAGAACTGGTTTGTAAAAATGCTGCAACTTCAGTGGTGTGGAACTGGTTTAGCTTTTGTCCGTCAGATACACAACAAAGCACTATTTTTGGTAGAGCATGCTAGCGGGCCGTCGTTATTACCGTGTTGTTTGGAAAATACGGCACACTTAAAATCAATCTTTTGATTTTTCTGAAAATCGACAGTGCCCCTTATAATCCCGTGCGCCTTATGTATGAATTCTGGTTGTGTTTACTGTCCTCGAAATGATTTTATGTGGTACAAATCTGTCAAATGTTTTGTACGACTTTGCTGAGCTACGAAGCCTCACCGCTTGATGGATTGTCGGAGCATTACTGCTATTGTAGGCAGGAGCCTCACGGAGTAATACGTACTGTGCTTCAACATGTTACCGTATTGTGTGTGTATAACCTCTTTTTAAGTTTTCTGGATATTATACATGGTTATGCTGAGGATATGTCGGCCAGTTTCCACTGGAAATGCCTTTTGGTTAAACTGTCAGCAAGGAATTTGCATTTTCACTGTTAAATTTTTATGTAACTTTAATGCACATAAAAAAAACAGCTGCTTGTTAAGTGGAAATACATTGATGTTTGGGTTTTTTTTGCACTAATAAAGTTGTGGAGTTGTAAAGTGTTTTGTCTAGTGTCAATTATATCGTCAGTTATATTGTTATGGCAAATTTTCAAATGTATATCGTGATACATATTTTTGGTCATATCGCCCTGCTCTATCCTGTAGTATTTTGATGTAGAAGATGATAATCTGCAGGCACTCAACCCAGAGTGTGTGTTTAACCACACTCTGGCAAGCATGCAGGTACTAACATCCAAAAAAGAAAGCTTAATGATGACATCAATGTTATTCAAAATATTTGCTCTAGAATAATTTCTGCAATTTTAACCACATATTTTTGACTGTAAAGCTTTGACAGCAGAAGCCTGATGGTTGTAGCTGTTGCTGTTGAGCTGTGCTGTGATGGTGTTTGGACAATGAGTGAACAGCTGATTGTGCTGGATACAGAGGGCTGCTTTGTCTTAGCTGTACAGTCTCTCCTGCTCACTTATCTGCTGAGCTACAGTGTCGTCTTTTTCTGTGTGGCACACACAGAGGCTTTAAAGATTGATATATTGTATTTGTGCAGCTTTACTGTTGACATTTTGTTTTTTTGGTGCTTATTTTAGTATGTTTAGTATGTTTTTGTCTGAATTTGCTATGTACTAGTTAAAAACAAAACTGGCAAAAGTATACAAAAGAAATGGAAACATTTATGTGAAATCTGGCAGATTAACAAGAAAAGCAAATTTATGAAAATGGAAAACTACACAAAAAAAACCTGACATTTACAAGCCAACTTGCAAATTTACAAGGAAATTTACAGAGTTGAGAAAACATGACGAATATATGAGAGGAAAAAAAATACTTTGTCCTGTAAAATTGCCAGTTTTTCTCCTAAATTTCCATCTGAGGGCTTGATTTTTCCCTCCATTTTTAGCCCCTTGAATCCTTTTCCTTAAATCTCCCTAATTGTAAAATTAGGCATTCATGCAGCTCTGATAATAAACACTGTAAAATTTTTAACTTTACATAAAATAAATATTACATTAAAAAAACACCTGAGTTATAGGGGTGAGCCTCAAAACTATGTCATGGTATTTCAAAACAGTTTATGATAATGATATTTCTGATGGTATATAAAAAACATTGAATGATGCTCGCGGGCAGTAGCCTGTGTAAGTGTACGAAAAGCATTTTCCTTCTTTTCCGATGAGCTACTGTCACTGATGACACACTTCCTAATTTGAGGTGTGAATCGAGGTGCCAGCAGCAGCGCTGTAGTGCAGTAGTATTGACACAGCATTATATCCAGTAACACAGCATAAGTCAAATGTAAGCACAAAAGCAGCCTAGTTGGTGTTTTCCCAGGAACGTTTCTGTATAAAATAACTCCTTTAAAC